TGCTGAATTCTGTAGTTACTGGGCAAGAAGACTGTTTTGGGTTGGTTTTGTTTTTGGAGGAAATACGCTGTTGTGGCAGATCATTTTCACTAGTTTCACTGGAAAACAGAATAACAGAATATTCTCAATTTCTCCTAGAAGTAGCCGATTCTACCAACGGAAGGCTTTTATTTCCTCTGTAAAATGAAGAAATAATGAGTTGATGTAAACTTTAGCTTTTGAAAAGAGGCAGACAGCAGAATGTTAGGTCAAAGTCACATAACTTAGTTAAGGAAGTTTTCATATTTCCCTCTACGTAAAGAGACTGCCTGTCTCTGAATCTGACCTGCTGAAAGCTTTTCCCTCTGTTTTAATAGTTCTGCTCCTCTCTTTCATTTCTGATTGTTTAGGTCTGCTTGTGGCTAATGTGAGGCTTATTTTCAGATAGTGGTAATTCCAGGAGCTGCAGATTATGAGATGCGAACTATGCATGTGAAGTATGGTATGGTGATAATAGCGTGACCAGTCCAGTGAAGACCTCAGGGTTAGAGGAAAGCTGTTGAATTTAAGGCCTGTGTTCTCTGATGTGTGGAAAAGAAGAACAAAACCAAACATAATAGATAATCTGTTGTGGGCCACTTGAGCCTATGTCCGTATTCTAAAGTACTTCATTCAATGATCTGGCATGTTTTCGTATGACTCAGAGAAGCAGAGATCCTGTATTTTGTATCGTAAAAAGTAAAATTCTCACAAAATAGTTTTATAGTAGTACAGTTCTGTGATACCGTATTTCTACTGAAACGCTATGGTACTTTCCAATGGTATATATCCTTAACGCATCTCTGATTCTGCATATACACTGTGTAAATAATATTATTTGAAACTAATACATAAAAGAGAAGGTATGTGGTATACTGTTGTGATTTCTTAGGTGGAAGCGGAGTTCACTGTCTCTCTGCTGCTCTTTAGGTCGCTACCAGATTTAATTCAGTTAGTTACTGTGGCTACTAATGTTTAATAGGTCTCAAATGTTTTCTTTTTGTTGCTTTGTAGCTTATAAACATCATTTCATCCTTAACTTTGAATTTTGTTGCAGGTGATTCATGCACTTTGTTCTGATGTTTGGAATAGTAAGGTGGCTGCAGTGGTATATTAAGGAAGTAGAAGATTTACTTGGTCTGTTTTAGGCTATTAAAGGGACGATCCTAAATTAAGTGGAGAGACTGTGGTTCAGAAATGTTTTGATGTTTGATGGAGTAACCTGCTGTTTCACTTTAACACCTCCTTTCTTTTCTTCTTCATGACAGATCTTTAAACGACAACTTTTTCACGTAAATTGACAAAAGTGAAGAAGAGATGGCCAGTTCAGCTCGAGAACATCTGCTTTTTGTGCGACGTCGCAACCCACAGTTACGATATACTCTCAGCCCAGAGAATCTACAGAGTTTGGCATCTCAGGGTACCATGGCTGAGAACATGAACTTACAGCGTGCCAACAGTGATACTGATTTAGTCACCTCAGATAGCAGATCTAGTTTGACAGCAAGTATGTATGAATACACCTTGGGACAATCTCAGAACCTTATCATCTTCTGGGATATTAAAGAGGAAGTAGACCCAACTGACTGGATAGGACTTTATCATATAGGTAAGTCAGAACTGTGTTGTAATTTTTCAGAGTGTTGCTCGTTTGCCACTTCATCTTTCCTTCTCTGATATGCATTTTGGTACACCACATCATTAATCTGAAGATAATAGTGAGATAACACAGTAGAGAATTAGCCTGAATTTCTCTTTACTTTTCTTAGTGCGGTTAACCATGTGAAAACATGATTCTAGTTAACATAGATCCAGTTCCATTGTGACCTGCTAGACAATGAAATGCATTCTTCTTAAAGAACATAAGTTGCAAATGTTCACAAGTTTCCGGTTTTCATCTTTACTGGTGATTGGCTTGCAGACTGGAAAATGCAGAGTACTGTATTCATCATGTGACTTGACGTTCTTACTGTCTAATGTTTATAAAATTTTTTGGACAAGAAAATTGTTAATATTAGGTGTTTTGTATAATTCTTTGTTTTTTTTTTTTTTTTGTATAGCTGAGATTGTATCAGTTCCAAATGACAGAGCATTTCTATTTATGAAGTATTCTTGCAGAAGGAAATCCTCAAAACAGATTCTTTTTTTCCTCCTTTTTTGTGCTTTTAAGGTTATCTAATTGATGAGAGCTGGAAAGAATTCTGGATTGTGGCTTGCAGGAGGCTGTGGGCTGTATGTATGCGCATTAGCAAGTAATGTGGCATAAAAGGAGTAGATCAGTAGATCAAAGCAGTTGGTGCTGAGACCCACACTATGTCTGATTTGGGATTTTACATTATGTTAGGTTTAATCACATTCCTGGGTCCAGACATCTCTGCTCTGTATGTGGTTTGAAGTTGTCCAAAGGACAATACTTATGTCGCCATTAGGAATTAGAGCGTATTTGGTGGGTAGCTGTGGTGGCATGTGGGGTTTTGTTTCCTTCTAAAGGAATTCGGTTCACCTGTACTAAAACTGCTCTCTGAATTGAACCAGTGCTCAGTAAGTGGGGCTGATCAAGGGGGTTTTGGTTTGTTTGTTTTTTTTTTTTTCCAAAATTGCACTGCTTCTCCGAATTAAATTGCTAATTTGGAAAAAAATCAGTCTGTTTAACCTGCCAAAAGCAGATACAATAGAAAGTGGTGGAAATAAGTCTGACCAGTGGAACTTTGTCCATGCTAGGACTAAGCTTTATGCAATGAAATCAGTCTCAGTAGGATTTTGGAGAGAGTTGCTGTGCCAGCGTTTCCAAAGATGTTTTGTCTCTCATCACTTAATGTTGCGTGCTGTGAAGATGCTGTTTCCAGATCTCATTCTTTTCCCTTTGCCATCTTCTCCCAACATGAGTGCAGCTCCACAGGCTGAAAAATATTGACCTGTGCTATCCCAGTGTTTACCTGGTTATAAAAGCTTATCTGGAGCTGCGTGAACTGTGGAGTCTCCTCTGGAACAAACTGTGGAATATGTGCAAGCACTTAAGAGACTTAAATGAGGGTCCTCCCTAATAAAGAGAGCTGAATCTTCCCAGCAGTATAAGCAACACAAAGTGTGTTCTGTGCTGTAAAATGCACGGACTCCTAAATGAAGCTCAAATATTCTAATTTAAATACAATGAGAGGTTCATCTGAATAAAGCTTTGACCTTGCCTTTTTTTTTTCTTCTTTTTTTCAGGTTAATATATTTCATAGCATTCAGGATTAGTATTCAAGACTCTAAAGTACAGCACGTTTCTATAAAATTCTCCTTTTGGCTCCTGTTGGAGATTATAAGTGATTTTTTTTATACTGTTTCCATGATGAAAAATGTTTCTACTTTCAGTGCCTCAAATGCCTTGAAATGCAAAACAAAGTTATTAATTTACTGCAGGATAAGGGTCCCATAAGAAACAGCCAAATTTAGGCCTTCTTGGGCCTAAAATGCCCAGCATGCTACTGTGTAATATCAGAGCATGAGAGATTCATATCCAGTCACTCATGTACCTCTAGTTTTCTTTTCATATAACACTTGAAATTCTTGAGCACTGGTGAGAGTTTTGTCACTGATTTAAAATGGAAGCAACATCTGAGCAAAATCTTCAAGACTTGTGATTTCATCATTTTGAATGACGGAATTTCAGATGTTGCACAACAGAGGAGTAAGGGTATGTTTAGCCCAATAGAGGTGTCTTTGTGATTTGGGTTTTTGATAAATCCTTTAAAGGATATAGCGTCGTTATTTAAAAAAAAAAAATTCGTAAGGTGGTGCTCTAAAAAGCTTTAATCTGCATAATTTTTGTAGACTTAAGAAAGATACGGTGCAATGGACTATTTTTCCTAAGTTAGTGTGGATATATTAGGAATTGCTAAGGCTTTGGCTCTGAGAGCCACAGGGCTTGCAATGCTTTTGCATTGATTTTGGTGGGAACTGAATTGAGGCAAAATCACTATGAGTACCTGTTGTTGTAGATGTCATGTCATTTTCTTATCACAACTGTTAATAGAAGTTGTTCTTTCAAAAGCCTTTGGTAGAAGAGACCGAAGGAGCTGAGCCACCAAGAATCAATGAAAGTAGCACATCTATTAAGCACCTTAAAATAGCGTGTAGAATTTTGTAACGATGAAAGCTGGTAGTTCTAAATCAAGGCTACGATGAGTTATTTGAAAATTTGTTAACCTGGCCTTCAAAGACAGCTGTAAGAACGACCTTTCATCACTGCTTAGCTCTGGCTATACTGCCTGAATCAGATCAGGGCAAGGCAAAGAGATGGGGCGTTGGCATAATCCCAGGATCTTCAAACCTTTGTACTGTTGTAATATTTGTAATCTTAGCTGCAGTTCCCATTTACTGCTTTGGAAGTTAAGGACACTCGCTGCTTACCTGCCCAGAAGTAACATGTCTGTGGGTGAATTTATTAAAAAAAATTAAAGCTCTATTCTCAAACACATTGTTAAGATTTAGAATACTTAATTGAGATTATCCATCCTGTTCTCTTTAAAACGTAAACCATTTGACTTACAAAGTCATTCTCCTCTGGCACTGCCTTCTGCAAGTTCTGTTTTTTCTTCTCTTGTACATTGGTTGTGCAGTTAACGGTCACAGCCAAAGCTGGTTGACTGCTTTGGACAGGGGGAAGTGCTTGTTAATTCTGTAAGTGAAGAGAAGAAGTCGTTCTCAAAATGAACATCGCTCTGGACACAGGCTCTAATACAAAGAGATCTGTCAAAGAGCTGTAACAATCCAGGTGAATTTTCACTTAATATAAATTTCATAGAATGCATCTATTGTAGCAGGAATTTAAAATGACGTACAGAGACACTGTCTTCCCTCTTCATTCACGAATTTATTCAGTTATTCAGTTTATTCAATTAACTCTCTTATTAGCTTTCCGTCACAAGAAAGCAGTTATTTCTGTGCTTTTAGGTGTGGTTTTAGAACATGGTTAAAACTGCAGCGGCTCACTAGGAATCCCATCAAACTTTAGTACATCCCTTTCTTTTTAAGAGACTGACTGTAAAGCACTCTACAAATTCTCCCTTTCAGATGCATCAGTCGGTACAATTGATCATCTGATTGTCAGTGGTCAGAGTGACTTTACTGCTGTGTGGCATGTAGAGGTATATAGATAATAGACTTAAACAAGGGAATAGTAGATGGAGCTTCTTCTAAGTACAGTACAACTTCACTGAAATGTTTTTCCTGTTAATTGTTTGAACGTCAGTGTTTCCTTTTAAAAAGAGAAAAGCCTGTGGGGGGAAAAAGACAGAATAATGTTATTTCAAAGGACTGATTCTTCCAGTGCATGTGGATTTTTTCATACTTCTGTTAAGAGCTCATAGATGGATCAAATATTTTGCCAAAAAGATTGTGTATTTTATTAGGCGTTAACTCACGATAATGTCCTCAGGATATTCCTCTGCTGTAACTTTTGATCTTCAGGTTTTAAATGCAAGAAGTTGAACTTAAATATGAAAAATGCTACATAGCTGAATGCACATGCTCAATTTTTCTTAAATCTTGTGTTTTAAGGAATGTTTTTGGATACGTGTGCAAGTTGGCTGCTTTCTGTTTTAGTACCATATGTGTGTCTTTATTTCATATTCATCTTGGACAACTTAGATGTGACCTGTTTCCTTGTGGAGGGACTGCTTTGTACAGAGATTCTTTTTCTTTCCTGGTGTGTTCCTCAGGAATACTAAAAGAAAAGTGTATGTAAAGGACACTGTGTATTCTTTGAAGGAAAGCATTCTTTTTTTTTCCCCGAGTGTTTCTGTTTTGTACTGTCTGGATTCTTTAAAATAAGTCATGCAGTGTCAGTAGCACTTCTTATCTATGAGCAGCCTTCTCCCTGAAGTTTTGTTACAGCAGCTTTCTAGCTTCACAGGCGAGATCTGTGGGGAACATAGATAATAATACATCTATAAAAGAATAGAAAGATTTTCCATGAAACTATGTGAAATGAAGAAATGTAATTTCAGAGCATTAGCTGTTTTTCAGGCAAACCAAGTGGTGTTGCATGATAATTTTTGAGTCTGAAAAGCGAGTTGTACCATTTTGAATTGAGCTTTAAGTTTTGCCTAGAGTGGGCTTCTCATTCCATCTTCAGGGATGAATACAAGGATTGTCACTTCAAAGTGACGAGGCTTGATGAAATTGAGAGAAGGGAGCCTTTTAGTAGAGGTACCATATCTGTGCTTCATCTGAAGAGTAAAGGTGAATTTCTACTTTTTCTGTTCTAGGGAAAAGGAAGGGAGAAGTCAATTCTGTTTTTAAGGAACGTATTTTTTAAGGAATGCTGTTTTTAAGGATTTAGAATGAATGCTTTTCATCTTCTGAGCTGATGGAAGATTATACTATATAACAATCTCGTTTTGTAAAGATCTTCTTGGACCTGTGGCATGTGTTTCCCTTAGCCAGCACTGACCCAGCTTTTACTTGGTACGTGTGCTTGTTGAAAATCAACCTTTGTTCAAAACCGTTTTTAACCTGTTGAAGGTTTGTAGACATTTTTTCACTAACTAAAAGGAATCTGAATCTTTCTGTGGCAAGAGTGGTCAACCTGTGGCTCTGGAGCTATAAGCGGTTCAAATGTAG